AACTTCCACACCAGGAGAACTTTAGTTACAAATTAATTGGATTATGAGACAATTACAATAACTAATAGTCTGCATTGAAGTAATAAAATAGCGTTTTTTCTATATATTGAATTATTTTTTATCTCTCACAGGACCTTCTATGGGCCGAAACGAATGTTAATTAATTTATTAATTAGCAAATTAATTAATTATCCAATTAATTACAAATTAATTGGATTTTGAGACAATTACAATAACTAATAGTCTGCTTTAAAGTAATAAAATACTGATTTTTCTATATATTGAATTATTTTTTATCTCTCACAGGACCTTCTATGGGCCGAAACGAATGTTGCCCCCTAAAATTATTCCTTATAAGGCATACATCCCACAAGTTTATTTCAAAATTGGCGAGTCACACTTCCCTAGTTTCCCTTGTGAGTGACATTTTAGTAAATTTGTGTAAATGACAGTTTGAAAATTCCTCTTTTTTTTCTCTCAATCTTTATGTTTTTAGTATATTTGTAAAGACAGAACTCACAAAATCGTTGGAGGTCTATTTATTTAATTCTTACTCTTTTCATAAAGGAAGATTCTAATGATTTTTGTTGGTTTTCGTGGAGATTTTTCAATGTTTTTCTTTCAATATAATTTCTGCTTGAAAAGATAAAAAAAGTATACATATACTTGGACTTACATTCATAAAATAGAATTTTAACAACCTTAATTCTGAACGAACTGGCATCAAATTTTATCCAGACTTGTTAGTTCGAAAACCAATCAAAAACGTTTCAGAGGCAGCGTTAACCCAAAGTTTGCGGAATTGATGTTTTACCTGTATGTATCTCCGTGATTTTCGGTAATGTTTGATTTAAAAAAAAAGTATTCTGTTAAATAGCGCTGTCTGTGACCAAAATGTTTGTGATCATATTTGAAAATAAAAAGAGATACTTCATTATCGTTAAAAAATAAAAATATTTACTACCTTTTTTTTTTTTATCTCTATTTCAACTTTAAAAAAAAGAGGGAAAAAATCGTCATTGTCTTACTCCTAGTTCATTATTGTTGTTATTTTTTTTCCCGAAATACATAAAAAAAAAAAACTAGCAGATGATCTGATATTCTACAGCATCCGCTGTCGTATTCTAGGATTTCTTCTACAAGGCAGATTGGATTCACTTAGAGACCTAAATTCAATTATTTTAATAGCCCTGAAAATAACTTTAAAACTAAAATGAGGAAAAATTCTTATATATTCAGGAATAACTTGTTTATAATGCCTATTATAAGAATATTTCATTCACAATAAAACGATAAATAGTAAAAAAATTATAAAAATATTTTTTTTTGCGCAGTTTAGTATGCACTTGTAATACAATTAAGTAAATAGATTTATAATGAAACTTTATTTGAAGAAATATATTATTGAAGAAATTTAGGGAGACTGGCAAAGCAGGAAAAATAATGAAGAAAATAAGATAACATGCAAAGCGAAATAAAAATATTTTTTTAGATCAGAACGAGGCTGACTCTTGTTTGAAGAATCCGTAAATTCCTTTTGGTGTTCTGAAAAATGTGGTTTAATAAATGAATATGCTTCTTTCAATTGTCCTTTCTATTCTCCAATTACATTAAGCCTAATTTTTAATTAAACTATTGGTGATTCTACTAGTTTAGACCCAGATCTCTCAGTTATTCCCCTGACTGAATATTGCGTCTGAAGAATATTTTTGTCTAATTTTTTTTTATTTAAAAACTCTATTGATTCGAATTATTTTTAATGACGCTACAAGTTGTATTTTATCTTTGAATCACGATACTTGAAAGTTGAAAATTCTAAGTTTAATTTTTATCTATTCTTTCGAATGTGCCCACTGTTTTTACTCTAAACACTATTCCTATGAAAAATAAAGAATTTCGTTTGTGAAATAATTGTAAATATTTTGAATAAAAAAAAGACATTTTTAGCACCGACAACATTCACTCTTTTGTTTAAAATATACTCTTTTCTTTTAAGTTTGTAGGAGATGGAAATTTTAGTCCTTCTTCTCTTATTCTGGATCGCCGCTGACCTCGCCTCTGCCCGATGTCCAAAGCAATGCACTTGCGCCCTCAAGTTTGGCAGGAAGACGGTGTTCTGTTCAGGCGGTGGCCTAAACTACATTCCCGTGGCCGAGATGGACATGAATGTACACGAACTGGTGATCACTTCTCCCCCGGACAACCCCAACAACATCACGGTCGGGAGAATATTTTTCAAGTTCTCCAATCTGGAGACTGTGAGGATCATTAAATCGGGTATACCTGCCATAGGAGACAGTTCATTCTGGCCGGGAAGGCGATTGCGAGTGCTCGATCTGAGCCATAATGCAATCAGCTTCTTAAGGGAATCCGATTTCAACGGACTCAAAAACTTGATAGAATTGGACCTGAGTGACAACGAAATATTCGCCACCCCTTCGGCACCCTTCCGCCACCTTCTCAACTTGAAGAAACTCTCTTTGGCCCAAAACAAACTCCAGAATTTAGTTCCTAGGCAAGTAGCTTATTTCATCTGTTTTTTATTGTATTTCTTTTAATATTAATGATTTTTAAATCAGGAAAAAAATTTCACTTTTTGTTTTTATGAATAAGCCTAAAAAACGTGAACAAAGTACAAAAACAGATATTCCATAGTTTTAGTTTCATAATTACGAACATTCCTTACTGGTGAAAAGAATGAAAATCATCAGAGAAAGAAACAGATGCAGAAGAAAAATTGCAATGAAAAAAAGGTCGAGTCATATCCATATGGGCATGAAATCTGGCTTCCTCTAATCCTTGAAATTTTTCTCATTTAAAACCCAACTTCATTTGTTTCTGCAAGTCATTATTTGTCTTCCCCTATTTTTTTTTTTACATCAGGGGCCCCAGAAAGAGAAACGTGCACTAATTTTTTCTCTTGACATTCTGAAGACGTATCTCATTAATTTCATCTTTTATTTCATACTTGCCAACTCTTCAAAATTTACTGAAAGATTTTTTATTTATGTACTTAATGTGGTAACAAAATATTTGCATTCATACTTGACACCTATTTTAACAAATTTAATTTAATATATTTTCCACTATTTCTACATTTAAATAGTTTAAACATACATAAAGAGAAGAACTGTATTAACATGTTTTCAGTAATGCGAAAGGTGAAGCATGTATTTTCTTACAATATAACTTCAAAAGTTATTGAGTACTATTGTTAAGAAGCTTTTTTGAACCACGAAAAATTTGGCAGGCATTCTGTCGTATTTAGGCTTGCTTTTTCTAAAATTGCTTCATTTTTAATTTTAACAGGTCAAAAGATTTTGAAAATTTTACTGAGACAGTTATTTTGAAGAACCTCAAGTTTTTGGGTGGTTGACTTTCTTTGGTACCATGTTTCAGAGCCATATAATAAGATTGCCTTGATAATTATTTCATAGATATTTAGTTTGGTTCTGTATTGAATGACCATTGACTCAAGATTTCTAAGAGATATTCTTTCACGAATGACCCCTGCTTTTAATATCTTATTCTTCTACTCCTCCACTTCTGCCAAATATAAAACTGATATAGGTGAATTCTCCTACGTTTTCGATTTCTTTTTCATCAATTTTAATTATTTATTGAGATTTTGCATTTATTCTCACAATTTGGGTTTTCTCCTTATTTTTAACATAATAAGCATATTTATTGTCTTATCAAGGTCTTGATGACATTGCTCAGGTGAGCAAGATGTAGAAATTAAAATGAAATAGATTTTCAAGCTTTCAGTCATTGACTTTGACCTTTCTAGCATTCCTCCAATATATTTCATTTCACGTCCTTGTTCAAGCTTTTTCTTATTGGTCAAATGTATATCTCTTTATTACTTCATGTTCTTTTCTTCTTCTTTTTTTTTTGAGTCTCTCTCTCTGCTTCCATCTCTCATTATGTGTATAAATTAGGATGGTTTCGCTCCATAACAAACAATTTGAAAGATTGATTTCTTTAAAAAAAAATTCTGAAAGTATTTGATCCACTTCTTAAACCTACTTTTTCTTCTAATTATATAAACATTGTATTTTTTGCAGAAAATTTTCAGAATGATTTCCCTAAATTTTCCGCAAAATTCTTAAAAGATTTTCCAAAGACTGCAATCTAATGATCAACCTGAAAACGAATTTCACTATCTTTGCTAGTTCATAATGTCTCTGAAATGACTTTAAATAGGCTGCAGGTATATGGAAAAAAAGCTAAGAATGACTATGATGTGTCTATGAAAAATCAGCAGATATTTTTTTTTAAGGAAAATCTTCGGAAAATCCGAAAATTTCCAGAGAATATCTTATGAAAATGAAATTTTCTGAAGAAATTCTCAAGAAGTTCTTAGTAGGGTGACTGCAGAATCGAAACTGTATAATATTTGTTTTTTTGGTATTATTTATACTTTAGAGACATTGTTTAGTTTTGATTATAATGATTTACTCACTAAGAGTATAATTTTTCCCGATTTCTCATTTTATCCTTACTGCATAATTTTAACATGAGCCATTTCGACATTAACAGTTATTATTTTTCAAAGTGCTATATTTTGCTTCCCGAGTTTAATAAAGAAAAGAAGAAGTTGAAAGAATAATATATAAATAAAAGAATAGTTTAAATCTATAAAGAATAGTTTAAATCTATAAAGAGTAGTATATCTAAGAATAGTTTATATCTCCTCAAAAAGCACGAGAAATTGAAAGAAAATTGATAAAGCTATGTTTTTTTATTTTGATTTTTACAGATCAATTCACCGATTTAATTGAAATTTCGTATTCTTTTATTTTATTTAAAATTTATATTTCAAAATGGTGAAAAATGTGAATACCTTGTAATATAAAAAGTTTTCAACAGTTATTAAATAAAATACGAGAGAAATTAACTATGTACTCAAAAAAAGAATTACACGAAAGAATAAATATACTTAAAAAGTGAAATTAATATTAAGAATCTCAAATTGTTGACCACTATCTTAACAAAACTATTGGGACTTTATTTTCCACATCACTGAAATCAGATCTAAAAGATCAATAGTAGTTCTTAGTAGAGGAAAAAGAGAGAGAAAATTTTTTAATTAATACATTTTCCAAGTTGTCACAACTTAATTTAATATAATAATCGTGATCTATTTATATTATTATTTTTTAGTTTAGCTTTGAATTATTTTTTTAAATTATAGTTCTTCAAAAGTGTATAAAGTGAATCAAATCTTTCATCTTGAAGGCAATTTGATCCACAGAAATTAAAGGGGTTATTAAAACTTATACAGCAATAATTAATTGTCTAAGAAATATTAAATATTGATTTAACATTGGTATTATAGAATTTGATATAATATATGAAATACTATTTAGTATAATTTATTATATATTGAAAAAAAACCACAAATCTGAGCTCAAATTCGAAACAGCAAACTGAACTATTTGCAGACAATTGTAGTGCTTACATTTTGCTTTGTTCTCCTTCTTAACATTTCTTTGGTTCGTGCCACTTCTCGATTTCTTTTTCGATACTCCAACTTCCGTTTTAAGACATGTGAATTCATTGAGATTTATGGCAAAAGATTATCTGGAGAAATTTGCAAATAAAAGCACTGATAGAAGGTAAACTTAACAACATCCGGATCTAGCTAAGAAGCAAGAAAATCCGATTAAAAAAATAAATATATACTTGAATATATATATATGACTTAGGATTCAGTCCCTTTTATATGCTTAAAAATGGAAGTGTGGTTATTTCTAGATATTGTTTTAAAATTTTATTTCGTCTATTATAAAATAAAAGTTGCTACAGCTGGTGGGTGAGAATGATAGTTCGAGATTATTCCACTTAAAGAGTATAATATTTAGGTTCATCCAGTGTTATAATTTAGGTTCTAGTGTGTTATATTCAAGTTAATCATAATGATGAATAAGCAGTAAATGTTTCAAATGAATATTGCAATAAGGATCATAATCATAGGACAATAAATCTTAAGTTAAGAAAAAAACTATTTTGACTAAAATAACTATTTCTACTACTATTTCCTTTGCACCTATTTCATCAAAAGATTGCAAGTTATTGACAAATTTATCGGGAATCCAGATTTTGACTGAAATATACACTATTCAAGTTATGTATTTTTTGACAATCATTCATGCGTACGGCAGTAAAGCTGCAAAGTTATTCAATTGTTTAAGAATTTGTCACAGAGAGGCTCTACACTAAAAAAGCAACATTATCGATATACAACCGAATATCATAGTTATACAAGTTATGTAACAGTTTCTATATTTTTCGTTAAAATTGAAATCTATATTTCTTAATGTAATATTAATCGATATTATGTCGCAAATGGGTGTCGATTTTTGTGGATGAAAATGATAAAATGAAACATTAAAATGATGGTTATAAATAAGATTTATCATTTATGAAAATGATGAAATTAAATTATGTTTATGAAAGACTGAATCTGTGAGGTATGAAAAGGCAATCTCACGATAGAAGCCACAACGCTCATATTCATATCTAGGAAGAAAATAAGTACACTGAAGTCATTTAACAACTAATGCTTGATAAGTAAGAAAATACTAGTTAATTGTAGGAAAATTAATTAAAGAATTATTTAAATTATAATGTGAAAATTGTCCTTTAACACAGGTTGGTAGAAATAGCGTCAAAATAAGTAAAATGTTATACACTTAAACAATGTTACACATCATGTGAGACTAAAGGAAAAAGTTTTACCAGAATCAAACATATTAAAATTGGGATGACTTAGATTTCCCTAAATTAAAAAGAAAAATAAGTAAATAAATAAAAATCACATTAAAGCAGAAAGTGAAAATGAAGTGTACTGGCTATTCTACCTAAATATACAAAGGAGTCTACATATAATAAGATGAAACAGAAGAGATTTTCAATAAAAGTTTACTTTTTTGGATGGAGAAATTCCTTTGATTTTATTGAGAAATGGGTTTTAAGCAGAAACATATTCTGCTTGCCAGCTGACGATCACCTAGGTGTTCTACACTGAGAAAGTATAATGATACCAATTTTAAAAAAATTGAAATGAATAAAAAGACATATATTTAGAATAATTCAGTTATGCAAATATTTAAAAAGAAAATGTTTTCTTTCAGATTCTTTTACCTCCTTTCTCAGCTGGAGGAACTCAATTTAAGTGGGAATGTCCTGGGATTCATCGATCCAGAGATTCTTCAGGATGTGAGGAACCTGAAGGTACTGAAAATAGGTCGGTGCAGACTGCTGCAGGTGCACCCGATGCTCTACCAGCAGCTCCCTGTGCTCGAGCATCTGGACTTGAGAGACAACTACCTCACTTCACTGTCTCCCGGAGAATTCCGGCACCTTCAGCACCTCTCTACTCTTCAAATGGACGGTAATGCGCTGGTTAGCCTGACGGAGGGCATCTTCCACGGACAGACACTTCAAAAGTTAGGACTTTCTCGAAATAACCTCTCCTCTTTATCAGATAAGACTTTCACGAACGCCACTATCCGGGCACTAGATATCTCTTACAATAAATTAGAGTATGTGCTTCGAGACACTTTCACGCCACTTGGGCACTGTCTGGAGGTCCTTAACATCAGCCACAACCCCATCGGAAATCAGGCCTTCTTCTCCATCATCCACTCCCTGAGAAATCTGAAATGCCTTCGGTCATCTCGTCTGAAGATTAAAAATTTGTTGAGGGACGTTTTTGCGTCGAACACTAAACTAGTGACACTGAATCTGTCTCATAACGCTGTGGTTGAAATCAGTCCGGATATTCTGTATCCGTTAGAGAACTTGGAAAGTTTAGACGTGAGTTTCAACAAGATAAGTACTCTGGCGGAGAGTGTATTGGAAGCGTTATTTAACAAGACGTTTTTCAGAAACGTCCATCTACACGGTAATCCCTTCGATTGCTCCTCTTGTCAGATTGCACCGATTTTTCACTTCGCTAACGAGACACATTTTGTGGACGGGAATGACTCGTTTCATGAATGTCTGCAGTGTGAAATGCCCATCGAGTGGAAGGGTCGTTGCATTATTTCACTCCAAGAAAATCAAATAACATGTCAAAACATCATTTTCGATCGCCAATACCTCGAATACACGTCACAGGTAGGGCTGATGGTGGCCATTTCCATTATCGTACTTATCGTGACCATCATATTGGTCATCATCGTAATCTACCGACGGCACATAGCTCACTATTATACCCACGAAGAAGAGCAAAGAGCGTGGAAGGGAATCTACGAGAATCCCGCCCTGGTACCCTCAGGAGGTGTTCACTACGGGGAGCCCACTTTTATCTCGACTGGCGACAAAGTGGACGAAAACATTGAGGACATCCGAACACCCTGAGACTACCCTTTAGCCTAAAGGATACTTTTACAGATGGCCCCCCCCCCCAAAAAAAAAAGCCGTCACTTATTTGAATTTGCCATTCGATAAAGTTTCTTGTATTTTACACATTGTCATATAAATTTTATGAAGAAATTTTCATTTCCTAATGCAAAATAAAAAATATTTAATAAAAAATTTAAAACTTGATGAATTTATTATAATAATATTTTTTGTGTTTGTGCTTAGTGTACGCATTTACCTGATTCTTTCTTTAGAAAAATGAATCCAACAAGCTCGAAATTTAATTTTCCTAAAACATTCCCCCCTTAGAACTTTAAATGGGCATATTTTAAAAAAAATTTAAAAATGGGCGTATTTCTTTTAGTATAATGTAAAAAAGATATTGATTGAAAATTGTTTATTTCAAATTTTACTGGAAGTCCCCATTTTTCAATCAAATTTGAATATATCCATTAAAAATAGTGGAGGATAACTTAACTTAAAGACAGACTCATTTTGAAGCAAGCATCCACCACAAAATGTACGTTTACGGTTATAGGATATTCTAGGATAAATTCAAGAATCGAAATTGTTAAAATTTTGAAAGAATTTGAGTCATTTTCTCTTCTCTCAACGAACTAAATTTTCCCCAACCTTAAGGGCCCTATTGCTGACATTAATAGCATAAATTTATGAAATATCTTGTCAGTCAGATACATAAAACAAACTAAACATGCCCTTGAATTTCGACTTTTAGATCTGTTCAAAATCAACCTATTTAATGATCTTCCTCCCTACAATTCTTTTCTTAGGTTTCAGTTTTATTTTGCCATTCAGCATTGCTTTTCAACAACTGACTTCTAAAAAAGATTCTAAGAATTCAGTTCTAGCATTTCAGTCGTTTTTAATGTTAGGAAATCTATTTTCATTTAATTTCTATAACTACGAGGCTTCTTTCTTATAATCCTTCCTTTATTTGATTATCTTGCTCAAGCTTATTCCTCTTCCCCTATTCATGTTTCCTTTCTAAGCTGAGGAATGTTATAGAAAGTGTCTGCAACAGGGCATTATTTGAACTTTATTTACGTTGTTTAACTTTATTGATATGCTGTGCAAAGTAAATTCTTATTTCAGAAAACGTTAATTATTAACTATTTAATTTTTACAGTAGAAAATTACTACAGCGAAAAAAAGTGCATAATGAGTTTTTGTCAATCTCGTTTAGGAAAAGAAGCAACAAAACGTGAGAAGGCAAAAGACTGATTGCAAGAGTGTTGAAATCTCCCATCGCTGACTTCCAGAACTAATTTCTTTAATATGGAAATCGCAAGGTTCTTCGACGACTTCGATCTCTTTACACTCAAAAAACTGAGGAGGATCTCCAGTTGCCACCTGCATCGATAAGGTTACCTAAAGGATACATCGTAAAATATACATAAAAATATACATAAGGATATATGAAAATATACAAAAAGGATACGCGAGCGGGTGTGTGTGTGTGTGTGTGCGTGCGTGCGCGCGCTCGCGCGTATGTGTGTGTGTGTGTGTGTGAGAGAGAGAGAGAGATCAAAATGAAAAAGAAAATAATAGTAAAAAAAAAAACAACTGACAGATAAAATTTTAAAAAAACCAAAAAAGAAGAATAAAATTTTTTAAAACATCCAGAAAAAAAAAGATATTATCTTTTTATTAGCCCACACGATTATATCGCAAAAAAGAGTGCTATCTAATATTGTATCTATACAGCCAAAGCAAAATATATCAATACAATAGTGTGAGGAACACTCAAAAATTTTTTACAAAAATTACAACAAAAAATAGAACACAATAAGTACACGTAATAACAGAAAATAAAATATTAGGAAAAAACAGAATAAAACATAATCTATAAAGCGAGTAGCGAATTCAAATGAACTTACATGAACGGGAAATTCTTCAAGAATGATTTAAAATATTTTCGTAACAAGATTGCCAGATTGCAAAATATGAAAACAAAAGCGCAAATTGAGCGTAACTAGAGGAGTTTTGTTTTAAAGTTCGTTCTTACTGCATTACTGTAGTGCGTTTGATTTGTTAGTTACCTAGTATGGGCCCGGAAATATGTGCAAGGTAATATTATACTGGATAATTTAAAGAAGTTGACGATAAATAATTTGAGAAAATAAATATTTATTTAAGAAACAAAAATAGAAAAGAGAAAGAAACATGAATTGCCTGTTTTGCTCATAATTTTAGCCATGGATCTGCCCGAAATGGATTTGCACATGGAAAAATTATATCAATTAACAATATGTATGTATATATATATATATATATATATATATGGGTCATTCTCACAAAAACAGTCATTTTCATGTCCCCAGTATATTTTATGTTTGTTTTACGGCTTACGAAAAAAAAAATTCAGGGAAAGTGTCCTTCAGAATGCAAGCTATCAAAGGAATAAAAATAAAATTATCAATTTTTATTTTTTATTTATTTTAGGTAATTAAAATATACCAATATGTCATTCCCTCACTTGTCCCCACTGCTGATTTAAAAAAAGAAAAAAATTGTTTCTGAAATAAGA